AAATTCATTTGCTTGCTGTTTACCATTGTTCAACACAATAGCACGAATAAGCGAGAGCGAAAGAGACACATATAGACAGAGAGCGACATGCGATGCTCAGCATGCTGACCGTTAGACAAATGAGAGAGAGTGAGCGAGAGTGTACTTAAAAGCTAATGACATACATATTTACACAGAATGAGCGAGTGAGCGAGACAAATAGATAGAGAACACGCAACCAATTGACAAACAATTACATTTACAGATTATTAATATATAACATATATACATATATATATAGTTTTTTTTTCTCTCTTTTTTAGTATATGTGGTATATATGTGGTATTTTCATTTGTGTATTGATTTTTTTTTTAGCCCTGGGAGTTGTACTCGCCGCATCACAAGATGACGAATAACGAGTAAGCGACAACGCGAACGAATGCCGCTTAAACGTGCCTAGTCACATTGTGAGTGGATCGACGAGTAAGTTTGTTTCTTATGCATTAGGTTCATTGTTATTAGTTATTGTGATTTGTTGTTAAGTTGCTTATTATTAGTTGATATTGAGTGTTTGGTTAGGCACGATTTGCTTTTCTGTATACAATTCACATACATTAAATTGAACACTACAAAACAAGTTTAACAAAACTTAAGGAGATTCAAGTTTGGAGTTTACGCTCAGAATAGTTCTACGTATACACATACAGATAGAGAGAGAGAGAGAGAGAGATTGTGAGTGAGAGATAGAGAGCCACTTTGGCCAAGACAGTGTTTGAAAGCGATCTTGTGTATTGGTTAGTTGGTTTGTCAGTAATTACAACAAATAGAAGTACAACACATATGGTACATATACAACAAGGCAGAGATGCTTAGGCAGATAGATGGGGAGAGAAGGGAAATATAGATGTTCTGAAACATTAAGGAACACTGAATTAGACTTGGGTAGCTCATGAGTGAGAGAGCCAAAATGAATGGCTCGATCGCTCATTTTGGTTCATTTTGCTTGTGATCACTAACGACTCAAGAGCTATCAGCAAGTGAGCCAGTGAGGCAAATGAGTGAGTTGGCTCACTTCATAAAAAAGAGCTAGTGAGCCGGTACATCTCAACGAGCTTCTTTTACCCAAGTATACACTGAATAGTGTTGAGCAGTAGGCAGAGCAAGATAGAGCAAGTCAGACAGAGGCAGAGAGAGAGAGAGAGAGAGGGAGAGCGCTAGAGACAGAAATAGATTAATTAGATTTGGTTTCTAAATAATGTTTTTTGCTCATAAAAAGCGAAAATATGGCTCGCGCTTATGTACAAGATAGGTAGAGATAGATAGATAGACTGAGAGAGAGAGACAAAAGAGAGTTCCACCTCAACTACGACTTGACTTCGGACTTAACTTTAAGTTAGTGCTCTTCCAAAAGGCATATGTCTATATATAAAGCGATATCACTTATGTACAACAGAGATAGAGATACAGAAAAGAGAGTAAGAGAAAGAGCTAGATTATTAGCTTAGCTTAAATTGGTTGGGTTTAGAATTTTAGTTAATGCTCTTGCTTAATGCCTTTAAATAGTGGGAAATTTGACTTTGTCTAATGTACAAGAGACAAAGTGAGGGAGAGAGATAGATAGTTTAAGAGTTGGAAAGAGCGGTATAGAGTATTTGTATATTGCACACGCTTAACATTTAATATAACATTTATTTATAGATTTTTGTTTTGTTTTTTTTTCTTTTTTTTGTTTTTGTTTTTTTTTTTTGTTTAGCGCACCTGGCATTCATATGGTAGAAATGCAATATTAATCTCCTTTAGAGTTTTGATCTTTCTTGCAGCGCACGATTTACACAAATCGTTAAATAATTCCTCCGGGCAAACTATAATTATAATTTTTATACGCACATCAAATTTAGCTCAAATTTACGATATTCTCTTCTAAATTTTTGTTTACTTTTATCTATTGTTTAGCTACAAAATATGCATAGTATATATGGCATTTATTATGTAAGTGTAATGCATGTTTCATTTCTTTATATATAGATATAAATGTTTTGGATATATAGTTGCTTAGTGCTACGCTCTGAAAAGTAAACTGAATTTGATCGAGTTTCGAGTATGAATTAAACCATAAAATGTGGACAATAAAACACAAGAGGCTAGGACATGTACAACAAAATAATAAAGCAAATACAGTATAGCCTGCCTAAGGCGATCTTCTTTACTCATTTCATCTAGTTTTGAAAACAAATTGATAAATTAGTCGTTTGTTTTAGGCAGATCATACTGTACAGTGTATGTGGCTTGTATGCGACCCAGTTTTGGCAGTTAGTTGTCAGAAGCATTCGCTTAAAAATATATTTTCCGTGTAGAACATAACACGATTTACGGCACAGTTGCATTAGTAGTAAAAGACAGAGAGAGCGAGAGAGAGACAAGTCACTGCAACGTGTAACGAGCAACGATAAGCGAGAATGTTAAATGCTTCGTTAAATTGGTTATTTAACAGAGATAGAAATAGAGAGAGAGAGAGAGAGAGAGAGAGAGAGTGAGAGAGAAGTATACCTGCGCTTCATAGGCCAAAAAGGCAATATTGATCTCTTTGCAGGTGCGCACATAGCGACGACAAATGTCTTTGTGCGATTGCAGCATTTCGAATATGCGGGGTGGTATCGCTACACAATATACATATATATATATATACATACATAATGTACAAATATATGTGCATTCATAATACATATATATATATATATGTATATGAGAGTCATAGGTTGCATATACATAGGTGCACGTGGATAATATTAACGGGGATTTCATGGAAAAATTTCAAAACAGAAATCAATAAATTAAATGAAAATCAAAAGAGACGAATAAAATAATAGATATAATATATGTATGTATATATAATATACTAGTTCACCAGACAATCAATTGCTATATATCGGTTATCTTTAGTGTATGGTCTGGCTGAACGACTGACACATACCCTCGGTAAAGAAAACATGCGCATAGCGATACATCGGACGCGCCGGATTCTCAAAGTCGCGTATGAGCGATCTCACAGATTCGTCCGATGGCGTTATCAAGTAGATGGCATCCATTGTCGGCAGCGGCTCTCGCTTCTTGTTGATGTCCTCAACCACTGTCGAGGGTAGTTGAAGAAATGATTAAATACAATAATTGACTTGGGCTGGGCTTTGCCTGTTGCACTCACATGTTATGCCCTCGGCGCTAATCTCGTGCATCTTGGTGCAGGCAGAGACCATGCGCATGCCCAGCTTATCGACCACCAGGACACGCCACTCAATGCCACCGGCGCCGGCTGCCTTGGCAGCGCCAGGAGCGCCCGCCTTTTTTGGTGGTGGCGGCTTATACTTCACCACCTCATTCATGATCTCTGCAAAGGAGTAGAACAGAGACAGTAGGCATTAAATATATATTTAACATATACTGCAAAATCTATCCAATCTGTTGCAAGTTAGAGTATGGGACATGGCTACTTAGCCTGCATCCATGCTTCATCTCTTATCTTCTCAGAAACTTTTCAGACTAATTTCCTTTTCTATATGTGGGCATAATAGTGTTGGCTATTTTAGATATGAGGCTAGGCCTTCATCTATAAGGGCTAGAGCTAACAAGCTTTCAATATGGCTTGCAACTTGTACGATTAGTGTAGCTGACTTTTATATAAGCACACATACATGTATCTGCACATATACACATATATATATATATATATATATGCAGTACGTGTAGCGATTAGTAGAGATAACAAAGCTAAACAGCTGCCATAAATCAAATTAATTTGCATTAATTTTCTTATCAATGTAATCTTATCAGATATAACTGACATAGCTGTAGATACCCTGAATTCCCGCTAAAAGTAGCTATTTTTTTAGCTGCTACCCAATAGTAGGCAGCACTGCTGTAAGTTTAAGATGTCAAAGTCATGTTTAGCTACATTTACACACTCCCGAAACCCCATAACTATTACTCATAACCCTGATGACTCAACCAGTAACAGCAGCAACAAAAATAATAATAACAAGAAAATAATAATAACAGAGCGTGAGCAGACCTAAGCATGTTGCGACAACATCAGTTTCTGTCAAAGTCTTTTTGATTGTGTCAGTGAAAGGCATTGGCAGACAACGAAAAAGTGTCAACTGTTATTTGCGAGCTATGGAAGCAAGTAATTTGCATGCAATATTTGCATTGGTGTGAACATTTGTGCAAACCTTTGCTGCAAATTATTTTTTAACTTGCTGCACAAATTGTTTGCATCGTATGTACCTAGCCACCTGATTGATTTTATGCCCTATGTGGGGGGGTTGGGTGTTTGTTTCCTGAGTGGGTGCCAAAAATTGTGTTGGAAAAATCGATAGGGGCTGCTGGTTTGGGGCTGTGGTTACAGCCTCGTTTGATAAGAATATATAAATGGTAATTTTTCCTTTATAAATACATATATTTTGCATATCAGCAGATGCTAATTATACAGGTACATAAATAAGTAAATAATTAGCTGTATCACTCTATATTCAAAGGGGGCGTCATAGCTATCACAAACATGTCGACCCAGTTGTGAGTTTTCGTTTGTTTGTTTGTGTGTGTGTGTGTGTGTGTATGTTAGTCACAACAGCACACAATTTTAACAACTCTATTGGAATGTTTGTTCATTGCACTTACTTTGGCCAACTAAAACTTTTAACGCCATGTTTTCTGGATTGCGTTGAATTCACTGACCCGGTAATTAATCAATAAATAATTTAATTTATTTTGAATTTTAGTGCGATCGTCGCACAATACACAATATATAAAACACCGTTTCACAATAATAAATCACGAATAATTTGCTACCACTGGGAACACAAAATATAACAAAAAATAATAACTTTGTTTGCTTGAAGTCGACGCGTAATTCTTTGCAGATTGTACATTAGAGCTGGAGAGCCATCGATGGAACTATCGATATAATCGATGAAGCTTTAGTTTTTCGATACATCGATGGAAATTTCTCGATGGTCAATATATCGACAATTTAATCTGAGTGGAGCATTAATACGTGCAGTCAGAAATCTTGTCTTCTTATTTTATTTGTATTTAGATTTACAAAATAACTATTTCAATTCAACATTGTAGCGAACAGAATCAATCTATTTCCTCTATACTGGCAGTTCCTCATTTAATATGGACAAATTTGTCGCTACGTCGACTAAATTGTTTTATGCAAAATTATTTGTTGTCTGATTTTCATGTGTTCTGTAAATTCTTAGAAAAAGATGTTGTTTCCCCTTCGCCTTCAACAACTAATGGCAACATATCTAATGTGATGGAGCACTTAACCAAACCAAAAGTATAACTGTTTTAAAATCATTTTTTCCTCGCAGCGAGTATTATAGTTCCACGTCGACCAGGAAGGCGCAGATTGAACGTCCTTGCTCGCATCCTTTTTCGATCGTCGAAAATGATGGCTTTATTTAATGAAAATGAAATGATCTCTAAGTTTTTTTTAATTTCTCTTAAGCAAGTGAAAGAGACTCTGTTGTATATTGTTAAGAAAACTGGACTGAATAAACCTGTTTTGTTGAACCTTACCATTCATTGTGTATGTAAATATGTATTTAATTTGCAATATATTTGAATTTAACATAGAAAAATTTTTCGATGGAACCATCGATAGTATGGATGGTTTAAACCATCGTTGGGAAAACCATCGAATACCGTCTCTATCGATAGTTCTCCAGCTCTATTGTACCACCACTGGTTAGTGGAATAAATAAAGCATTTTAACTTCAATCTCACTCGAGATGTCTGGCAGCACCATAACAGCTGAGTGGCATCTCTATAATAAATAACGCACTATTTCGTATTTTTTAACGTTCATATAATTTGTTGTATGATTAATACTAAAAAACAGAAACATCTTATCACAATATGTAATATAGGGGGAAGAAAACAAATGAATAAATTATTCTATCAATTAAGCTACAAAGGCATCAACTCCGCCAAGGACTCGGCGATTGTGCTATCACGGAAGCGTCCAATACGCAGCGCATAGGAAATAACATGCGCCACATAACTTTGTTCGTGCACGCCATGAAACAGATACGACATAGCGCCTACAAACAAAAGCAAAAGAAAGGATGAATATTAATATTAATACATTCAATATTCGCAGATAGTGCCCACTTACCACGCGCATGTATAGTCACATCGGAACCGCCGTGTAGATTCTCATTCGTATTGATGGCCGCCTGCTGCGTGTATTCCCAATCTCTCGTATCGCTGAGTGATGGGTCCTGTCGCATCATGCGCTCCGGATCCACCTGAAAGCCTTGATAACTGGTACCATATGTGAGCGTTGTATAGGGTGTATCTTCTGTCTTTGAATTGCCAGCTAGTCCCAAGATATCAGCGCCTCGGTCGGGGTGCCCATTGATGGTCAAGCTGTGCGAATGATCGGCTGTCACGATTAGCAGCGTCTCGTCCAGTTGATCCCTGTGGATGTCTCTATATTAGTAATTGTTTAACCTGCTTATCCCAAAGTCACACTCACTTTGCTTTCAGATGCGTCTGCACCGCTTGCACGGCTTCGTTTAGGGCCAGGACTTCGCTGAGAGCCTTGCGCGCATTTCCACGATGATGCGCCTGATCGATCATGCCGGCCTCCACAATAAGCAGATATCCCTTATCACTGTTACCCAGCACCTCGAGCGCCTTGAGTGTCATATTTGTCAAGGATGGCATGCCTGCATCGCTGCCATCCCGTTCGTGATCGTACTTGAGATGTCCGTTGGCAAAGATGCCAAGCACATAGTCCACGTTGGCCGCATCCAATTGCTTAAGCTGGCCGTTGTTTTGGATCACCGCATGCGACTGGCCCTGTTCCGCTTTCTGTTGTGCCCAATCTTGTATAAGATTGCGTCCATCTGTTGAGTGGCCCGCCCACGTGTCCAGCGGATCACTGTCTGTGCCGCTCACATTCGAGACAAGCATTTGACGGCCGCCACCCATGATAACCTATGCGACGATTGAGAAGTTCAATTAAGGAAAATCATAATAAGGATAAGAATCTTCCAAGGCCATCGGCTACTCACATTGATCTGCTGTCCCGTTTTCTGCTTCACCAGCTGGCGTGCGATGTCCAAGCAGCCCTGTTGCTGCGCCTCCGCTGGCATCGTTGACTCCGATTCCCAGCGACGATCTGGCACATGGGCGTACAGAGCAGCGGGCGTGGCATGCGTGACACGTGTCGTCGTCACAAAGCCTGTGCGCATGCCATCCGCTTGGGCCCAGTTGAGGATGTTCTGGACGTGATGCGTCTCCTGCAGCGAGGCACTGCAATTGCCCAACGGCACCGTGGCATCGACGCCGCCTGTCTCATAGTTGACCTTGACGCCGCCAAAGAGAGCGGTGGCCGTGGAGAAGGAGTCAGGCACCTGCTTATTTGCACAATAGGTCTTTAGCAGACCCATGTGCGGGAAGCGCTCCCAGCTGAGCAGGCCCTCCTCTTTGTAGCCATAGATTCGCGCCGCTGTCACCGTATTCGGACCCATGCCATCGCCCACAAAGAGTATCACATTCTTGGCTCGCCGTCGATTCAGCTCACGATTGAGTGCGAGCTTTAGCTCATTGATACCGCGATCGTACCACTCCTGCTGCTCCTTCGGTAGGGTCACATGCCAATAGGAGACCGTTTCCATGTCGCTAATATCGCCAGAGAACTCGTAATGGACCAGAAAGCCAATACACATGGCAATCATTAGCACCGAGGAGAAGCTAACGGCTATGATGAACACTTTGGATTTGAATACATTCTTTTGCTGTTGGCGCTGGAGCTGCTGTTGCTCCGGCAGCGTTTTGGTCCTGGGTGTGCCGCCATTCGAATTGGCGAAATTGTGACTCGAGTCGAGGCTGTCCAGCTGCACCTCAATCAGGCCCACATCGCCCAGCTTGGTGCTGTCGGTGCCCGTGGATGACATCGCAAGTGCTATCGTATCTGTATCTGTATCAGAATCTCTGTTGACTCACGTCTGGGGCGGATTGGTACGTTGTCTTAGGTTTTATGCGGCCTGTAAATGTGAGATATATGACAACGGCAACACACTCTCGAGAGCCCAACCAGATAACCGTAATAAGACGAGATAAAATTTCCGGGCCCCTTCCGCCCCGTTTCTAGCCCACTTACAGCGACGCCTGCTAAATACCCAAATAGATTACGCTTAGCTAGAACTGCGACTCGTTTAACAAGCGCGTCTCCACGTCACGGGCCCCCAATTAATGAATAGACAGCAAATTCCCCGTTGCCCACTTGAAAACCCGCACACGGCTCCTGCCTCCCACCTCCCCGCCGGAGGGTTTCCGATGAAGGCGTTAAGTGCCTGTTGAGCAGCCGTGGGCCGTGTGCTATTCGCTCGATCCGCGTCTGTCTTGCCATATTGGCAGACATATTTTTATACCCTGAACCCATTTTCAATGGGAAATCAGGGTATAATGGTTTTGTTGAAATGTATGTAACAGGGAGAAGGAGGCGTGGCAGACCCCACAAAGTATATATATTCTTGATCAGGGTGACGAGCTGAGTTGATTTGGCCCTGTCCGTCTGTCTGTCCGTCTGTCCGTCTGTCCGTCTGTCCGTATGTATGAACGCGTCGATTTCAGAAGATATAAGAGCTAGAGACTTCAAATTTTTTTTAAAATGTCCGTAATTACAGCGCGCATATCAAGTTTATCATTAAAAATCGATAACTCATCTCGATCTTTTTTATCGATAAAAAACCTTATCGAAACCCAGTTATAAAATTATATCTTCTACACCTTTATTGCTAGAGTCTCCAAATTTTTAATGTATGCTTATATGCAATTTATACAATTTCGGTTTTTGTTAAAATTTACCCCCCACCTCTAAATTCACCCCCCTCACCCTCACTTTTGTAAAAAGCGTATTTCAAATACTAGAGACTTGTGCTTTGGCAATTACATGCATATTCATGTTATAATCATAATCTAAAAGTTTCATGAAGATCGTACGTCCATAAAAAAAGTTATTAAACAATTAAGTTCTCATAGTAAGCGCACACTGCAGCCCATGCGTGTTTATGCGTGGTTGCTTGTATGTGTATGTGTGTGTGTATGTGTGTGTGTGTATGCGTTTGTGTCTGTATGCGTGTGTGTGTGTATGTGTGTCTTTATGCGTGTGTGTGTATGTTTACCTGTGTGTGCGTACGTGTGTGTGTGTGTGTGTGTGCGTGTTTCTTGTGTAAGCTGAAAGTCGCGAAAAAGTATTGAAATATCTCTTGCTCCAAGGGTTCAGGGGATCTCGTAGTCGAGCAGTCTCGACTAGAGCTTTCTTACTTGTTTTTTTTTGTAATATTGACTCGCAGCAGGCTCTAGCTAAGAGTGGGGTATATGCACTATCTGCTGAGATATGTATACATATACAGTTGCGAAAAATAAAATAGCACCACTTGCAAACGCAAAGTTTAAGAAGTTCTCCTAGGTGCATTTATCAATGTATTGATCCAATTTTTTCTTGTATATAAGCAGAAAACAATTAATAATCGCAACAAGCAAGAATTATCCCAAAAATATTAATCGTTTTTATATAATTCAAAAAATTCTCAAAAAAGTCGTAAAAATGCCGAAAAAAATAATAGCACCACTAACCCTTTTCGAGTGAAAATCTATATTTTTCGCAGATTTGAATATCTTCAAAAGCACTAATTGATGAGATTTGTTGGTTATATATCTATTTTGATTAAAAAATTTTCAGAATCTGTGAAAATTAAAAAAAAAATGGGTCGTGAAGAGCATTACACCACCGAACAACCCAAACTCATCAAAAAGTTGATTTCGGCTCCAAATTTTCACAGGAAAGTTGGTCATTTGATGGGTTGTTCAAATAAAATGATCCACAATGCATTAATCCATAAAAAAATTAATGAAAAGCGCGGATTGCGTTGAGTTCTGACCCAAAATCATGTCACTCGTCTCATTTACGAGAGTAAAAGGATCCTTTTAAGCCGGCTACTCAACTGAAAAAGGACCTAAACATATCAGCAATGGACCAAACAGTACGGAAATATTTAAGACATCTCGATTTGAACACTTTCCGTTCAAGAAAAGAACCATATTTGAATATAAAACACATTTCCAAACGGATGGCGTTTGCAAAAAAGCAGTCTCATACTAATACACTTGATCTGCTATGTT